GAAACAATAAAGGTTAAGTAAACATTCTTGTTGGATAAGCCTGCCATTCTTCTCTAGCATCCATGAGCGACTGTCTTGTGTATTTGCACCAGTTCACATTTGAAATTTCACCAACATTGACTAAAGAGAGTAAGATCTTGAAGTTGCTTCTCACGCTATGGTTGCCTCTTATCAAAGAAGAAACTATGGAAACAACAAAATTCCTAATGAAATTATCTCCATCATCATCATCACGCAGATTTTTTTCTATCATTATTTTTTTCTGTGGACTGCCTTTTTCGATTCCCCATGCTGCTCTCCATTCCTTCAGCAGCTCAGTGTACTCTTGCGTTTCATTCTTTGCATTTGCTTCTAGAACATCCTTCTTTCCCTTGGGCAACCCAAACACAGCTTTAACATCATCATGTTCAATGTCAGCTTTAACATCATCATGTTCAATGTCAGCTTTAACATCATCATGTTCAATGTCTAACAACTATCCGTTTGTAAGCTTTAGTTGTCCAGATATTGGTCTAAGGTTTTCCAGGAGAAAATGAACAAAGTCTCCATGGAACTTATCAAAGCTCAGATGTAGCAAAGATCCAAAGCCTATCTTCTGAATAGCCGCCTTCTATTTTTCACTCAATGCTTTGATTAGCCTTACGAATGGAGCAGGTCCAACTCGAGTCCTCAAATTTATTGAAGCACCAACAGCAGCAAAGTTCTTTACCACTGTTTCCCTTCCAGAGTCTTCTTCTATTTCTTGTTGTTGCTCTTGTATAGCATTATTCTTCCTTTTGCGCGAATTGTTTGTGCTTGTGGTTGGACTTTCTTCTATCATCATTTGTAGAGGTGGTGGTTGTTCCATTGGTGGAACATTATTGTCAGAGTTACCCCCTCTCAGTACTGATGTTATACATAATAAAGTTAACAATTATTTTTCTTAAATCGTACTTTAACAATCTCACACGAAACTAATTGCACTGAAACTAAGCATTTAGGATAAAAATTGGAGTTACATGTTATTATACTCAATTTACATAATTCATAACATTAATTACATCAATTTTACAGAGCATTTTGTATAACAATTGTATTTACATATTAACAGTCACACTTTACTTAATTCATAGCAGTATTTACATCAATTCTAAGCACAGAAATTGACCTTTTTGTTCAACAATTGTGGTACTACATATAAGTTTTAAGCATTGAAACTCAGAAATTTTAACAAAAATTGCATTTACATCTTAAACATACACACTTTACATAATTAGTAGTAGTACTTACATCGCTTTTGAGCTCAGAAATCGAGCATTTTGTTCAAAAAAACCATTTACATCTTAAATTCCATAGTTTTCTTGTTACATAGCAATGCTTGCATATGTTTTAAGCATTGAAACTCACGATTTTTAACAAGAATTGCAGTTACATCTTAATACACACAACATTGAAACTCAGAACTTTTAACAACAATTACATTTATATCTTAACACCCCACACACTTTGTACATTCAAATTTACATCACAATAAGACATCAATCATATTATTCAATACTCAATCTCTTTCGTTTCTGAGTGTGACTTAGAATCAATTAACTTACATGCATGTTGAAATTTATAGCAGACTAGCACATGAATCATATTGTTACATGCTCCGACATACATTTCGAACTTGAAAAATTAAAGTACATATTTCATTCGGATTCTATACCTCGCAACTGCTTTGCCTTTAGCCCTAGTCATTGTCCCAATCTGTTGAAGCTTCTTCTTCGTTCGGTTTCCTTACTTTTCCGTCTGCGGAATGCTTTGTCTTCCTTTTGCAAGTTTATGTACTTCAGTAATGGAGTTTGGTGGAACTTTGTCCGATGAAACTTGTTTCAAAGAGAGAAATGCAGAGAGAAAGTTTTTCAACAAATATAATTTCTGAATTTCAAAAGACACGATGGAAGTATATTGAGGGGGTGAAGCGTATAACCGCTCGAGGGAGAAAAGAAGCGCCGCTGGGAGAATGTCGTTTATTGGGCTTGTGCGCTTTTTGATTAGATGTTTGAAACTGCGTTGTTTTGATGCATGAGCATGATGCTCAATGTGGGCTGGTTGCACCGTATACGAACTGTAGCGCACCTGGCCACTTGGGTATGTACGTTGGCGTCGCGATTCTTGTCTCCGGAGTCGGAAGGATTTGCATTGGTTAGTAGTTTTCCCCCTCGAAAAATGGTTTGTAGTTGGTACAACCAACTTTAGGCTTCCTCGATCCACATCGACTAAAGAAAATACAAGTACGTTCATACTTTCTTGTTTAGTAGATTGAATCACCACGATTTAGGCCCGGCCCGGCCCAGGTGCAATTAGTGCACTTGCACAGGGCCCCCATAATTTAGGAGTGCCTCCATTTTTTATTAGGTTAGTATTATACCCAAGCCCATTAGGATTTTTTTATCAAGTGGCCCGAGCAGCCATTAGAAGAAGCACACCTCTTTGCCTTCGTTGATTAATCGATCATCCACTTAAGTTGTAACAGGAGCGGCCGATTGGGGAGTCTTCAACTCCTCGTTTACCTGCACTTTTCTTGGAGAAACTAAGCGGCCCAACACGATTTCGAGAAGAATAGGGGGAATCAGCGCTATGTCGAAATTTAATTATCTTGCATAAGGTTTTAACGTTAAATATTCAACAATACTCAACCTCAATCTACTAGTTTGAATTTGAGATTGTCCAAGAATCCTAATATCCGATTTCATCCTAAGCCCATTATTCTGATTTCGTGATTGCTTCAAGTCTTTTTCCCAGTGTCGACTTGACGACCGACCTGCAACCATATTTTCTCTTAAAACTTCTTTGTTGATTACGTTGATTCACTGATTTAGTCATTTAGTTCATTAGTTGATTCCTTTGTAGTTTGAATCATTGAAACCAGACATCGGTAGCTTAGTAGCAAGTCGCATATGTGCATACCTCAGTAGACAGTAGCAGTCTAGCAGAGTATCACTTTAGCTCAGTTGTTCTTTTCCTATCCTTATATCATTATCTATTACTACATCTGTCCCACTTAGATTGGGACAAGAGAAGGTGACACGATTATCAAGAAAAGTGAGTATGTGTAGTTGATATTAAATTGATAAAGTAAGAATAAAGTAAGAATGATTTAAAGCTACCAGGGGCGGATGCACAACCATAGGAGGGGGGGGCAGCTGCCCCCAATAAACAGCCACTAGCTTCTTATAATTCATTAGGAAAAATCACATCCCATATAAATGCCCCCAATTAAAAAAATAAATGCCCCCAATTAAAAAAATGAATTCCCCATATGCGTAGTCGAGTAAGCCCAAATAACCCCATGCCCAAATTCCAAACTAAAAAACTTTTCAGATTTTTTGATCGTGAAGGCTATAGATCCCTAAAATTAGAGCAATTCAGCTGACCATAAGCTGGAGTAGTTCTCTGGCTAGAGCCCGGACGGAAGAAAAGTGAAGAACTGAGTGTAGGTTTCTCTCTAAACCCATTAAGTAATAACTATTTTACTATTGTATAATTTGTAATGATATAATTTGTATGTTTCTTAAACCTAATGTGTAAAACTTATCTGAATTTATAAAAATGTTAGGGGGTGTATTGTATTAAGAATTAGTTGCAAAATTTTAAAAATTAAATCCTAGATTTTAAAAGTTTAGGTATATTCAATGTGGACTTTTAAATTTATTAAAAAATTAATTACACTTTTTTATCAAATTTGATGAGCAGATTTTTTTAATAAAACACCCTCTTCAATACCCTCCTCAACACCAGAAAGTTCAAGTATAAATATGTGTAATCCTACTTTGGTATATAGTCTTTTAAAGTTAGCTTTGACTTTGCCGGTTGCCATAACAACTATTGAGAAATGTTTTTTTGCTATAAAGAGTAGACTAATTTGCATAATAGAACCGGTGATCAGTTTTTGAGTGACTGTCTAGATTATTTTATAGAAAAAGAAATATTTGAAATAGTTACAATTTAAATTGTATTGGATCTATTTCAAAAAATAAAAACGCGAAGAGAGTAGTTATGATTTACTTTATTTAGGTTTTTTGATGTTGTAATATACTACGTACTTTATTTAATTTTAAAATCCCCGTGTACTTTATTACAAGTATTTTCGATTTGAATATGATTTATTGTCTTTTTGTTTTGTAGTGCCTTTATGTGTGTCATCTTACTCTTCCCTAGGCATGGACTCGGGTTGGTCCCAGAATCGGATTTGGTTGGTCTCGATTCTAAATAATTGAAGCCTGGTACCGATCCGGATTGGTTCCGGTTCAGGTCCAAACAGTAACGATCCCGGGTCAGTACTCACACTATAATTAAAAAATACTACGTATAAAAATATATTCATTGGGACCGGAATCGGGCCTGGGACCGACCAGTTTGGTCACCAAAAAATCAAGCCAGAGCCCGGCCCATCGTTTCTACGCTGGTCCGTGTAGCGGGTCGGTACCGGTACCGGAAAACCGATCCTATCCTGGCCGGGTCAGGCTGCCCGGACCTGGTCCATCCCTGCTCTGCCCCTAATAGTTTTGAATCCTGGATCCGCCACTGAAAGCCACACAAATTTTATCAAATTTTGTATGAGACAAATTGTCTCACACAATCTTAGTGAAATTCCCCGAAAATGTAAAATGAGACAATCTGAACCGGTAGGAGGAAGTAATTTCTATTTTTGAATTTCTTATTTCTTTTACAATTTGTAAATTTTGATGCCCAGCCCTAAGGCTATAATTAGAAAATATATAACCGCACCTGCACGGGTAGCTCAGTTGGTCGAGTGGTGGAGATTTGAAACAATGGACCAAGGTTCGAATCCCCGCAGCGACCGGGTGGAGGTCACAGAACCTGAAATAAGGCTGGTTCTCTGGTGCGCACGGGTGTATGAGCCTACTACTATTCTGCTGACTGAGTCATCGTGACTAACCTTCCCACCATCCTGTCCGGTCGGGGTGGGGGCTCCTGGGGTGGGAGATTCCACCTTTATGGAACAATAGAAAATATGTAACCGTATATGGAAAACTTGGGAAAAAAGAATTGAAGAGTGTTGAATGTTAGATTTTTGTATTAAAAGTTAGGACCTCCAAATCGAGTTTCAGGGTTTCAAAGCTCCACATCTGTAGATTGAGTGGAGAGGATTAACAATTAGAATGGTGTTGGTTCTAGCAATCGGAGATCTGCACATACCTCACAGAGCCGCTGATCTTCCGGCTAAGTTCAAGTCGATGCTCGTCCCTGGAAAGATTCAACACATAATTTGTACTGGAAATCTCTGCATCAAAGTACATTCCGCGCATTTCTATTTTGATCAATTTTTCTAATTCAATCTTCCTTGCAGCTGTTTAATTGTTATTAGAAAAGAAGTGATCACTTATCAGTTCTCGACCTTGTTGAATTTGAACATCAGTCAGCCATCTTTGCCTTTTGTCTGGGGATTAACATCCGTATGTATCTGTTGGGGTATATGGGTGCCTTTTGTGTAATGGCATTACATTCAAGGGAAAACAAATTAATTTTGACAATATGAACGGAGTATCATCTACTGTTAAGAAATAATGGAATTTGTTAGGCAATTTATAACTGAGGCTATAACTATTAGGGATTTTTTGAGAAAAATTCAGCATATGTATTCATACATTCTGACATTTATATACTTAATTTGAGCTGGTAAGTGAACTGTGACTTAACAAATAAGAACATCTGCATTTTGAAAATAGACTGTTGGCCAGGTTATGAATGCTGCAACAGCAGTTTAAGTTTCCTAGCAAATTTTGAAGTTTTAAATATGAACACGAAGTTGGCATTTGACTATTTATCTACTGGTTATTTATTGAATTGGAAGTTTGGAAATTATAGTTTTCATAGACTGCATTCCAAAAAACCTTCATATGGCCCAATATGAGGATCGACAAAGATTCATCCTATTGCCTATACTTTACATTTAGTATGTAAATTTACACTAAGATCTGCTAAACAAAACATTAATGTGATTCTCTGCATGACCATACACATTGAACACACTAGGTAATGGGTCTCTAATCCATGCTGATTTGTTTGGCTGTGGTAAGATTTTTCTTGATTTCCCACTAAAGCATGCTGAAAGGTCCATGTACTTCTTCCGTCCCAAAAACAATTGGTAGTACTTCTTGAGTAAGGGTACTACCTTTTACATTAGTCAACTCAAATAAGGCTCAAGGCTCCTTGCTTTAGATACCCTTTTTTCATTTTTACCAAGATGTTATTTAAAGAGTGCTGTTTGAGCTATTTCCTAAGACCCTTGCCTCCTGGTTTTACATGAATCTTACTTTAAAGTTAAATCTGAATTAAAAATTGGACTATTTTTTGGGACAACGAACGCATACAACAGTATTTAATGAGTAGGAGGGAGTAATATTTATAGCGGCATAATCAGAAGTTAGGATGTAATCAGAAGTGTGCTAACTTCTTCTAGGAACAAGAACTTACTTTCCTTTTTCATTTTGTACCATGTAGATGAAGTTATATGTTATTAGTGATTCACATATAGTACATATTGTTTTCAGTTTGAGCTCCATTAATTAACTAAGGCCTTGAATTGTTGTTGACTGGAGTGTGTTTATTCAGATTTTTTTTGGACAAAGACAGGAGTAGATCTCTTGTTGCAGATTGAACTCTGCTGGGCTTTGATTATGAAAATTCTCGCATGCAGGAAGTTCATGATTACTTAAAGAGTTTATGCCCCAGCTTGCATATAACTAGGGGTGAGTATGATGAAGAATCTAAGTACCCAGAGACAAAGACTCTCACCATTGGACAATTCAAGCTTGGTTTTTGTCATGGTCATCAGGTTTGATCTGTTTATGTTTATTGAGTTTTTTATTGCACTATGGGTAGTGTTGGAACTTAGAAGGTTGTTACTGATGCTATATGACTATTGAACCTACATCATTCACACAGTTACATAAATTCTGCATCCATCGGATTGTCTTGCAAAAAAAAACTTCATATTGTCTTTTATACATCACTTGCACCGTTACTTAGACGACTGAAATTGGACTGAATTTGCTAAAACTATTGCTTAAATTGCTCAATAAATTGAGTTATTAATATTATAAAATAAAATTTGTTTATGATATTATTAGTTGTTCAAGCAGGGGTCTACATGTGTTTTGAGGGTACATGATTTGGGTACTTGAAAGGTGTAGAAACATGAAAATTGAGCATTTTGTGTCCTAACACAAGTCCTCATTTACTAAAAAGGAAATTTGGAAAAACTATATAGTTATTTGTGTAAAAGGCATTTGACTTGTGCATATTATTTTCTACTCATTTGGCTGAGACGAGCAGAGATAAAACTCCTAGGGATGGGGGGAAACAGGGAACTATTTGTTCTTTTATTTATCATCAAAATATCAAATTAAAGCAGTGTTATAAAATCAGATTGTTGTTGGTATGAAGGGCGGTGAATATTGAATGTGGCACAAAAAGCACATAGTTTATTATGTAATTGGGTAAATTTTATTGTAGTGCACTAAAGATAGATAGGGTCATCTAATAGTTTGTGATGTTGGTGGTGTCATTGTGAAGGTAGTTCCATGGGGAGATCTGGACTCACTAGCCATGGTGCAGAGGCAGCTAGATGTGGACATATTGGTGAGTGGGCACACCCACCAGTTTAAGGCATACAAACACGAGGCCGGAGTTGTGATCAACCCTGGTTCTGCAACTGGGGCACATAGTAGCATCACCTATGATGTCAACCCTAGTTTTGTTCTGATGGACATTGATGGTCTCCGCGTAGTGGTATACGTCTATGAACTCATTGATGGAGAAGTCAAGGTTGACAAAATTGATTTCAAGAAGACTGCTGCACCCCCATCTACACCCACCCTTTGATGATTCCTGCCACCAAAACTGTTCTCTGCAGTTTTTTAAAGGACTCCTTTCCCGTTTGATCATTTTAAGGACTTTTTGCCAACCTGAACTATATAAAATTTGCTACAATCACAAGTAACAATAATATGTTTTTTTATGGAGTGTGGTAGTAAAGGATGGTTTTGAAATACTCCTTTTATAGCATTATCATCTTTTTTTTTATTTGACGGTGCCAAACAAACCAGTCCCTTGCCCTTTTAATAAACAATACGTAGTGTGTACTATTTTTCTCACATGTACAGAAGCATTATCATACAATTTTCACCTACTTATTTCTAGCGTTAGTCAAAACATTTGCAGGAAGGATTGGATATTTGGATCAACAAGTATGGGATCATATTTTTTCGTTTGCAACAAAACAGTTGTGATGTTAACAATACATTAATATACTCCGTGTATCCTTTTCTTTTATTTGCCATTTTGCCTCTTCCTAAATATCTCCACTTAGAATCATGTGGTTGATATAGATTGTCTCTTCAGCTCTTCTTAAAAAATATCAACCACATAATTTGTACTCATTTAAAAACTATACTGAATTAAAATTGAATTGAATAAGTGTCAGATGTGGTACCAAGTATTATTAGTCATCAAATTTGTTGAGGCTGTGCATTAGAAAACTTTGTGCATATAAGATTATATTTAATAAACTCTAAACATACAGCTTTGACACCAAAGTTCACAGCATCTTCAATTTCATATTCATATAAATCCATACTGTGCTGACATCTCACAAAGCATGACTAAGCTCAATATTAGAAATAACAAATGGGTATAATTTGTGATTCAACAATGTCATCTCAGTTTCGGAACTCGGAAGTTGATTTGGACATCGGAATTCAGACGGAAAGTATACGATGAGAAATGAAATTTAAAATCTACCCATAGGCCATAGGCCCATATCACATCCTTATTAGTCCTAGAGTATATATTCAAGTTTACTTTTTCAAATATTTAAGCAACACAACTGTAAAATTGAAACTTTAAGGAAATAATTATCCAAGATAGCACTTCAAATCTACAAGTCCACAAGTACTCACATTTCGTAATATATGACTAGTAGTTTTTTTTAACCCGCACGGGTAGCTCAGTTGGTCGAGTCGTGGGAGATTTGGATTAATGGATCAAGGTTCGAATCCCAGCAGCGACTGGGTGGAGGTCACAGAACTTGAAATAAGGCTGGACCTCTGGTGCGCACGGGTGTATGGGTCTACTGCCATTCTGCTGACTGAGTCACCGTGACTAACCTCCCCACCATCCTGTCGGGTCGGGGTGGGAGGGCTCCTGGGGTGGGAGATTTTTATCGAAATCTTGGGCGTGTTCGGAAAAATAAAGAAATTATTTAATTAAAATTAATTTAAAATAGCAAAGAAAAACAAAAAACAAGAAGGGACAGAATAACCAAAGCTTGTGCAACGCACAATTTCCTTAAAACGTATCTGCTGTCTCCCACGTCCCACGGTGGAAGGAGCGTTGCAGCGATAGTTTCCCAAGATACGGTGGATAACAAACAATCGTTTGAGCACACAACTGATTGTTTCAATGAACAGAAACAAAAGTAGAACACTAAGGATTTTTCAAAGAGCTGGAGGCAAATTTAGCTAAAAACGTATGTGTTAACTATGTTGTATCATGTGTTGTTGTAAAACACCTGTCAGGTATATATAGGGACAGATTTGTTGTGTGTTAACTGAACTTTAATGGACCTGGACGTTGGATAGATATATTGGGTATTAATATGTCGAAAAACTGTCTGTTTAAAGATGCATTAAAGGCTACTGCGTGGAAAAGAATATAGACGTTACGGGAAGAAACAAAAAATTAAATCGTATCTTTGTAAGATAGATTTGCGGACGACATTCATGTTCGCAGGTCGCCCGCGCACGCAAGTCGTGGTTTTTTCTTCTCCATTTTCGAGATTTGATCGACACCTCCCTCCGCGTGAAGAGAATTTTCCACCTAGGAATCATAACTCCTTCAAAGAGGGTCACCTTTATAAGGTGGTGAAAATCACTTGGGTTTCCGGTGTGGGATAAATCACACTAGAAACTAATCATTTTCTTAGTTTTTCCATTTCAACGAGTGAACTTTGAGAATCAATTTCACATTCACCCGTTATCCGTTTTGAGTGTACCACATATTGAATTGTAGCTCTTAACAAGGCGAATCTGAAATCACTTTGACCCGACCCAAATCTGAAATGGACCCCACTCAAAATACTGCCTCAAATTGACCATTTAATGTAATTTCAACACATTTTCCAACTATCCTATCTTGAGAACATGTTTCATATCTAATCTAATAGGAGTAAAAACAATGTAGTTTCCAAAATGGAGTATTGTACTTTTGCCATATATAGGAGAACTGTATTGTCTTACTTAAAAATTATTGTCATATGTTGACACTACCAGACTTTGAATATGATAATATACTGCCATAATTGAAAGTATTTTTCAAACATCACAGTTTTAATATTATTTAGCGAATAAAAATATATTTTACTCTTTATTTAGTTTTTTTAAATAATCTATGTAAAAGCTCTTTGATTTTTTTGGCCTTGTTTGGATAATGGCTGATAGACCGTCTTTTAGCTTCTTTGGTCACCATTAATGAGTTTGACTATGTATATAGCCGAAATTATTATTTGGCAAATGGTTGGTTTATTTAAAGCCCGTTTGGTAGCACAAAAATAGGTTGTTTTGTATGATTCTACTGAAATTTATGAAGTTCTGGCTGAAGTGGTTGCATTGGTTGATTCTGTTGATTTAAGAAAAAAATAATTTTAAAATATATTTTATTAATAAATAAAGAAAAAATTATATGTAAAAATAGTCATCTACAGTAACTTCAGCCAATACAGTCAGAAAAGTAACTTCAACCTTACTTTTTCTGCTTATTACACAATTCAGCGCGCGAAACCAAAAGTTACGTGTTTGGTGAAAAAGTTGGCTGGTAAGCCTGATAAGCCGAAAAAACAGTGTTGCCAAACGGCCTCTTAACTTATTGAATTCAACCAGCCAAAAACTAAAACGCTGGGAGCTAGAGTTTAGTTTCAGTGGTTTCTATTTCTTCTTTTTATGCCCTTCTCACATACTTATCTTTTCAATCTTTTGTGTTGTGTTAATGTTGTTAATTACCTTGCTCTAAATTGGCTAATCAACAATACACACGAATTCATTTTTACATGAGTCGAATTCATGTTGTTGCACCTGTGAAATCATGAATTGTGCATATTTATAAATTTTATTCGTTAATGTTTTGATTGAATCCTAATTTTTAAGTTTTCTTCAATCGTGAATTTGTCTATATTCTAATGAAAAAGCTGTATTGTGGAGGCTTTGGGTGACCACTATACGGGAATACAAACAACTAGTCTATATTACAATTTTTGTATTGGTAAGTGCAGATGATTTGTGGTGTAATTTTATTTCTCAATTTTTATAAACAGCTAACAATTGATTACCAATACAAGGCCTTTACATATCCAGGGGCGGAGTTAGGGCACTGGGCCAGACTGGACCGATACAAAGAATATTATTGGAAAAAAAAATACACGAAATTTTTTACGCTAAAAATATGGGTATTTTTTAAATTTGGGGTGGGTCAGGGTCTAGCCTGGGCACCCTCTAGCTTCGACCCTGTACATATCTTTCCAAACTTATCGTAACATGTGCTCAAAATAATACTCCCTCCGTCCCTGTTTTTTTCCCATTTCGGCTGGGCACACTAATTAAGATAGTGGGTTTTGTGTGGTAGAGAGTTGTGCAGAGGAGAGAGAAATGTGTAAGAATGTGTAAGAATGATTGTGAACCATAAATTCTTTGCCAAAAAGGGAAGGAGGAGATAATTTTAGGACGGACAAAAAAGAAAAGTTTGAAGATAATTCAGGGACGGAGGGAGTACCAATTATACTACCTACGGGCTATAGCTCGTGAGACTTCTAGTGATTTGTCACCTTGTATACCAAGTATACTACCTACGGGCTATAGCTCAAAGAAATTTGTCTTTCATAAAATTTGTATCTTGAATCCTGATTAGTATAGCATTACGAAAGTTATAAATATATATTTTTATGAAAGTATTTTAATAAAAAATATTTTCATATTATTTTTAAATCATATATAGTTTCCGAAAATGTATTTTAATTTTTTTTTTTTGGAGTAAGTTTGTAAGGTGATTTATCTCAACCAAAAACAAGTCAGTGTTTGTCTCATTCTTCTACGAAACAATCCCATCACCTCTCCCACTCCATAACACTGCTCAAGGGGTTTCTTGAAGGACTAATTTTTGTGTCAAACTCTGGAATTCGATTTAGATCTATTTCTATTATAACCAGTCTCGAGCACCGGCGAGAAAAATGTACGGATTTGAAGCGCTCTCCTTCAACATCCATAGTGGTTACCTGGAGGCGATCGTGCGGGGACACAGAGCTGGTCTGCTCACCGCCTCCGATTACAACAACCTCTGCCAGTGCGAAACCCTCGATGACATTAAGATGCACCTCTCAGCCACCGAATATGGCCCTTACCTCCAAAACGGTTAGCACCGGTATCTATTTTGATATTATAAAGTTATATTCTCGTGGTGAATTGTTGTTTCCAAATTCAAATCTAAATTTCAATGGGATTGTTCAGTAACACTCAGCTATACTAGCGGTTTTGGGGTTGATCTGACATTTATAACTCACATGCCTTATGAGTAATCTAATCAATAATGATATCTTCAGAATCCATGGGAGATCATACTTAGATGGATGGTATTCTCTTGCAGATGCATTCAGTGCGCATTTTGTCATTCTGATATGTTTCTGTGTATAATTTTGTACGCGTATCTTATTTGGCAACTGATTGTGAAGTAATGATTTTGACCTTCTTGTGTATCCCAGAACCCTCTCCGCTGTACACAACTACGATTGTGGAGAAATGCACTCTTAAACTTGTAGACGAGTATAACCACATGTTATGCCAAGCTACGGAGCCTCTGTCAACTTTTTTGGAGTACATAAGGTTTATGAATTGTAACTTTGTCTAATCTTATATTCAACATTTTTAGCAGTTGCAATTTTGCATTGCCATTGAAGTAATTGATACATGGCTAGTGTTAATTTGTTTAGTTATTGGACCTGCTTCATTGATGACTTACTCTTTAAATGCAATCGCTGTTCTTAAAAACTGAGTATTAATTGACTATAGTGTTTATATGTACCTTATTGTGCTTTAACGAAAGTGGTTGGATCATGATTGTTATATAAGATCTAAATGTCCATACATTGTTTCTGCTCATTCTGCTTGCCATGTATTCTCCAGAAGTTCACATGTAAACATTTGATCACACTGATACTCCTTTATCCGGCTCAGATATGGTCACATGATTGACAATGTTGTCCTAATTGTCACTGGAACATTGCACGAAAGAGATGTCCAGGAATTGCTGGAGAAGTGTCACCCTTTGGGCATGTTTGACAGGTACCGCTCAGAGTAGACATTTGATATCATGAGAAGTATTATGGGACCTTTTTCATCTGGGCAGTAGCAACTCTTCTTTGTGTTATTTTTACAGCATTGCCTCCTTAGCAGTGGCACAAAATATGAGGGAGCTTTACAGGCTAGTGCTTGTTGACACCCCATTGGCCCCGTATTTCTCACAGTGCATTACTTCAGAGGTAGCGCAAAATTTACCATCTTTTCAAATGAATATCACTTCATAATCATTTTTTAATTAATCTCTATATTTTTTCAAAGTGGTTTTCGGCAATTTAAGTCTCACTTTATTCATATTGTGTATCTTCTATTTGTAGAAGGGGGATATTATCCACAACTTACTGATATTCAATTTCTGTAGTTGTAGAAGTACGGTTAAGTATGTGATTTAGCATCCTGCAGGACTTGGATGACATGAATATTGAGATTATGAGGAATACCCTTTACAAGGCGTACCTTGAAGACTTTTACAAGTTCTGCCAGGTCTGCGGTGCATCTCAGCTTCTAATATATCCATGTCGGTTATACTTCTGAAAAGTCATAGTCTTATTACTTCATCTGATAAGAACATTTTCAAATAGAAATTGGGTGGTGCCACTGCAGAGATCATGTCCGACTTGCTTTCTTTTGAGGCTGACCGAAGAGCTGTTAATATAACTATAAACAGGTGTGTCATTTACATGCCTTTAATCTTGTGTTCTAAATTGCATATCCCAGTGTACGGATGTGTTTGCTAGACTGCTGCATATTGCACAAGACTCATTGTGCAATGAAGTTTTTTAATTCTATTATGTACTACGTATTAAGTAATTGCAAGTTTGCAAGTAATAAAAAAATGACTTTAAATAATGAAACAAAATATTATTGATTAACTGTAAAACTTCATAGTAAATAGAACTACAACGAAGTTACAACACCATCAAAATAGGAAGTTTAAGCATCACGTAATTTTAAATATTCCTAATACAAAACCAACAAAAAACAGACAGCATAACAGAAAAAAGTAATCGATTTGAAGAAGGAAAAAACATAATCAATGAAAAACAAAGAAGGGGAGAAGAGAGAAGTTGAAGAGGAGACCTATATGCGTCGGCTAGGAAATGTCAAGTAGGAGAACTGAAGAAGTTGCAGAATTGCATCACACAAGAAGAGAGAGAGATAGGAGGAGGAGGAGGAGTTTCACAGTTTAAACTTTAAACTGTGAAACAGATATTAATTTTCATCATTGCATAAGCCTCAACAACGCCTCAAGGATATTATCCGCTTAAGCTATCTTTTGCTTGTAACTTATTCTAATTTTAAGTTTAAACTAGACTAGATTTAAGACCTTATCATATGTTTGGGGCTGTGATGAAATTATGATTAAAAGAAAAGTTCAAGACAAGAATGTAAATACTTTTTAAATATTTGAAACAAGTGTTAACATATATCATTTTTAACGTCATTGCCAGTGATAACCTGCCTTCATCACTTCCCGAACCCTAGTCACACCACTACAACTTCTCACCTCCAGTGACACCGCACCACATGCCGTTGTAACCGGCAACAGCAGTTTCTGGCGGCTTTTTTTTGAAAAGTTCCCAGTAGCGGTGTCTAGGAGACCCATGCTGACAGCAGCGAAGAGATGGAGATAGATTTGAGCTATAAATTATCTCAGTCTTTTTTGTATCCAGAATGATTATTAGTCATATTTTTGCCCATTCAGTCTTATCTAATATATTTTGGTCATCGTTTCCAAATGATATATGAAGTATTTAAGACTAGAAAAGCGATATGGTCAGAAAACTCTGAATTCAAAGTAGACTAGACTCAAAATATAAGGGAAAAAGATTATATACCAGATCAGATCTTATATTTAAGACAAGAGAGTCGGACAAGATCGGAAAACTTTTTGGCGAATCCTGACTACAAACATTCATATTCAGATTTGAAATGAAAGGTTGACCAGATTAATTCTTAAAAAGTTCAGATCAGATCACATTTTACTTGAAGAGAGCAAGTCCTAATATTACTTGCCGCTTACTGGAATTGTGTTTTAAAGCCATACTCTTTTTTTGGGGAAAAAACCTATCTTGTAACAGTGATTATTGGGATGTTGTAGTAGACAATACAAGGATGATTGAATGAGTTTCTTCTTATATCCTTTTTTTTAAAGTTTTTTATAAAATCCTTTCCTATATCTTGATTCATCTGATGTTTGTTAGGCCTTGAGCCTAATTTAATTATTGCATATTGTTATCCATATTTTTGAGCGTTTTGTTTATGCTCCCATATGTGCTTTTTATACAGCATTGGCACTGAGCTTACTAGGGAAGACCGCAAGAAGTTATATTCTAATTTTGGTCTACTGTAAGTTAATTAATTTTGCTCCTCCCTCCATCCCTCTCTGTGTGTGTGTCTGTGTTTGTATTCTCCTGATTCTGTTTTTTATTTTTAATATTTTTACACCAAATAGTTATCCCTATGGTCATGAGGAACTTGCCATCTGTGAAGATATTGACCAGGTATGTGCTCTCTATATTGCATTCTTACTAAACCATCTGATGATATCTGTATTTTAAGTACCATATTGCGATTCATGGGCATGAGAGGGTACGGTCTATTCCCTATAGGAGTAATTTGTCTTTCAACTTCGCAAGCAATCTTGTGCTCAATTTCATGTAAAAGAATTCCGAATTTACTTATTTACATTCTCACAAAATGGTTAACATTCAGTCTTTCCTCGTAATCTCTACTCTTCAATTTGCTCAAATATATCTTGAGTACTTGCTCTTTTTGATTGATGCGGCTGTAGGTTCGTGGTGTCATGGAAAAATACCCTCCATACCAATCAATATTCACGAAATTATCCTATGGGGAGAGCCAGATTCTTGACAAGGCTTTTTATGAGGAAGAAGTCAAACGCCTGTGCTTGGCATTTGAGCAGCAGGTGCGTTAATTTCAGATTTGTCAAATGTCATGGTAAAACCTTAAGATTGAATTTGGGACTGAAAGGAATACAATTTATTCCACACCAATACGCCATCCCACATTGACCAAATAGAAATAGAAAACACCCACATATATGGTAGAGTTATTCTTAGTTTTACCTTCAAGGATGAAATCTTAGTTTTTTTTTGGGTGTATCAAACTTGAACAATTGATTCGAGCTTAAGCCTACAAAACAATCACATTGTTTAAAGATTGGTTTCATGCCATAGTGGAGCATGTTAATCCTTTCTATATCAATCCATTAAAGGGCAGCCCAGTGCACATTCGGGTCTCCCAAGGCGAGGGTCCGGGGAGGGGTCCCACCACAACGGTATATAAGTGACAATCCTTCTCTTGTCATTTTGACAAGAGCAGATTTGAAACCGTGGTCTCTCAGTCACACAACACCTTAACCGGTGGTAAGGCTCCCCTTGCTATATCAATCCAATATAAATCTTAAATTAATAAATAACGCCTTATTCTACCTCCTACTGACCTTTTCAAGATAGAAATAAAATGTATAATAATTTAAATTTTAGTCTCTGTTCATGCCATGTTATTAATATTAATTTCAATTAAATATAATGATGTTTTTTGCTGTGTAGTTCCACTTCGGCGTATTTTTTGCATATGTAAGGTTGAGAGAGCAAGAAATCAAGAACTTGATGTGGATATCTGAATGTGTGGCTCAGAACCAAAAGTCCAGAGTGCATGATAGTGTTGTTTTCATATTTTGATTTTCATAAACGGTATTTGTTGTATTCATCATCTATATAATCTTCTTTGTGAGTTTGTGTAAGATAAGTTCTTTGGGGACCAGTCGTGTCCCGTTGGAGCAAATTGCTGAGAGCCTCTTGAGTTTATAAAATTTTTAGTGAGACATTCTTCCACACGCGAAGCAATTGCTTTTGCTTAATAAGTCCATATGTATGTAAGTTTGAAATCTCAAGCAAGCTGGTTGTTTTTGTGATTTGTATTTTAAATTTGTTAATATAACTATGTCGTATTGAAGTTGTTGATCATTCTGGTGGCTCTATACGAGTATGCGCCACATTTGGTCATTCGACTCAAGTATTGAACTAATGCCTTAAGAATTCTTGTGCCATCGGGACTCGCCGACTCGGGACTGATTCTTTGAATATATTTTACAAACAAATAAGCTAAAATTTTTGTACTCTGGAATTGTAACCAACTCTGAATTGGTTATTTGGTTTACACAATTAAAACAGTAACATTAAGCTCAACTTGGCATTGTACGCAGATGGATTCACTCCGAGAGGAGCTCTTGATAAAGGCCATCAAGATGATCTCATTGCCACGACAACATTTAAGTTCCACGCATATTGATTGAAATAAGCGCAGCTCAATGTGTTATAGTGTCATCTTTAATGAAGGTTTTTTATATGTTAAGAAGCATTTGCCTCATTGTTTGGAAGGAATCTAAGCTTATTTGGTGACTCTGTTTTTCTGTTTATGAACCTTATCAATTATGGAGTAATTCTTTCATCAAACACTAATTTTTGATTGGTACGATGGGTTGTAAAGAATAGTTCTAATTAAATGCTAATATACGAGTCTGATAACTTTTAACAATCTTTTTATTTTGCTTTTTTATTATGGCCTCATGCACTTGGTATTTTAATAAGAAACGTGGTTGAAACTAGGGATGCATCGGTTCCAGTTCGGGCCTGGTTCGGGCCTGGTTCGGGCCTCGGTCATGAAGGGGAGGCCCGGAACCGGCCCGGGTAACCCCCGGGTCCGGGCCGGGCCTCGATTCTATTTTTTTTTTTTGGCTTTTCCTAGTTAACCCCCGACCCTCCCCCTCACCCCCAAATCAACCCTAACCACCTCAAATGGCCCAAAATACCCAGCCCAACCCAAAAAATCAAAAAAAAATTGGCCCGGCCCGGGCCCGAATCGGCCAGGCCGGTTCACCTTTTGAAGGGCCCGAGCCTGAACCACCATCCCACCGGGCCGGGTGGCCCGAACCGGCCAACCAACCGGTTCACCGGGCCAGTCCGGTGCCGCACAGTAGCGGGCCGGTCCGGTTCCGGGCCGGTCCGGTTCCGGGCCGGTTGGCCCGGCCCGAGTCCACTCCTAGTTGAAACTTGAATAAGAAACGTGGGTTGAATAAGTGAGCAAATGTCGCTTTATTTCCTAAAGAATTTCGGAGATGGGTAAAAAATGGGGGACGCAAGTATTTTGAATATGAAAACTATATCAAAAAGTTCTTTACTAAAAAAAATCATAAAACTATAAAATTTATAAATCATAAACAATAAATAATAATCAAAATTATTGTCCAAAGTTTGTTATCATTGACCATGAAAAGTCAATATGACGAACCTAGGGATGGACCTGGGCCGGTCCAGTTCCAGTTCCAGGTCAATCCAGTTCCAGTTTCGGGGCGGGCTCGGGCGGGCTTTTTTTTCAAATTGTGAGGCCCGGAACCGGCCCGGGTTGATACCGGGTCCGGGCCTAACCGGGCCGGGCCGAGCCCGGGTCAAGGTAAGTTTTTTTTGCTTTCTAATTACCCCCCCCCCCCCACCCCCCAAAACACCCAGCCCCTGACCAAGAAAAACAAAAAAAAAATTGGAAAAAAAAAGTCCGGGCCCGGCCCGAACCACCCCGGCCGGTTCAACAAATATAGGGCTCGAGCCCGGCCCGCCCGGCCCTCCTCAACCGGGTAAAAGCCTGGGTCCGGTTAGCACCAACCGGGCCGGTCCGGTTCCGGCCGGGCCGAACCGGTTGGGTCCATCCCTAGACGAACCTTTTCGGGATATATGTAGTAATAACATAATCACCAAACCTCAAAAATAGTATATTTATAACATCATTATTGTCATCAATGATCTCATTATAATTGTATTTCTAAATATTTAATTACCCTTTATTATCTAAACAATTGTACTATTTTATCATAAGAACCTTAGGCAAAGATGAGTGTGGTCCCTGAAAAAACTTTCAACTTTCCTTTTTTGAATTAAACTTTCAAATTCCTTTTTTGGTAAATAACTAATGTTTCACAATATTTCGTACACATTTGTTTTTCATTTTCACAACTCTTCACCACACAATAATCATCGTCTTAATCTATGTGTCATTTGTATCACGAAAGTTTTATTAGGGATGGAGAGAAGTACTCGTATATTTTAAGAAGCATATGATATGATCTCATTCTATTACGGTTGACTTCAATTCCTTTCCAACCCATCACCTCCTCGATTTTCATTACCACGGAGTGCATAATTACAGTAATTTAGTTTCCTTACCCATCCCAATCCTAGGCCATAGTGCAAAAGTCAATTCTTGATCTCATATGCGTGTATGTGGAAGAGTTGACATGTGATTGATTATGTGAAAACTAAAAAGTTGTCAAAGTTATAAAATTTTAGTGACAATTTAATTGATGGAAGGTTGCGTATTTATATGGCGCTTAGACGATTATTCACCTTCATCACTTTATCATACTAAAATAAAAGAGATCAAATCACATCATATTTAGGTAATAATAAAACAAAAGTTATAGCCGATTTTATCAGAACAGATTAAACTTAAATACGAGATTTAGAATTGGGTCATAGTCTAACCCTTCTTTTAAGACTATCCTTCAGTACTGAGTGAGTTAGTAAAGAGGCGGCATTTTCTCTCATTGGCTCACATGGACGGCTCAATTGATCACATGAGTGAAGTTTGGAATAATTGAACTAGGATCAAGTCCCCCGTGAGCGGCATTGTGAAAGCAATGTCTCAAAGTGAGCTCCTGGTGCTCATGGTCACTGATGTATCCTCTGTATTTAATTGAGTTATCATGATTTACATCCCGGTGGATATGAATCCAGAAATGAATTCTAGACCCATTGAGTATATGATTCGAATATGGAATGACATTGAGTTTAATGAGTCTGGCATACATAAGAAAAATATTAAAGGATAGCCAAAAGCCCAAAAGCATGATTACCATCCTTTTCATTAAACTGATTTCAATCCTAAATCAGATCAGATCAAATCAGACTAAACAAGACTAAACTATACCAAATATAATCAAATCAAACCAAACCAAATTATATTAGATTAGATCTGACTAGACAAGGCTTTGAGAGTTGTAAAATACATGTTAGACATAAATCAACTAGACCAGATAGAACAAGTTCGAACCAGACTATATTTAAACAGACCAAAACAGGTTAGACCATATTACATAAAATTTTAGTATAATTAAAAACGTTGAAACGTGATTTAAAATGATCAAAACCAGTATCTTAAATTAAAAGAAAATTATTTAGTCTAACCAAATTTTTACAAGTGTGATGTTTAAATTTGACAAAGTGCGAATTATGTTGTGGAATGGATGTTGACTTTTGACAAAATTGTGCCTGGGAAAGTGGCCAGATGCATCGGGATGCATGTGCTTTTCTCTATATAAAAAGAATGTCAATCTCTAGAGAAATTAAAGGAGAAAGAATCAAGGTAATTAGGGAGAGCGACCATCGTTTGAAAAGATCTTAACCACCTTAAATCAATTGAAGGACTCCTTAATTTCCTTTCAATATATTAGAAAAATGATTGGCGAAAAATGTAGGTGTTTACATCATGTACTAGTTTTTACACTCGTGTTGCGCGATTAGATAAATGACCAATGTTATACACGTGAAATACACTTTTGTAGAACTCTATCAAATTTGATATAAGGTAGAAAAGATCAAGAGAGTGTTTGATAAGAGTGTCTGATAGTTTTCTTTTTTATCAGAAAAAATTCTAAGAAAATGTAAAACCACCCCTAAATTTAGAACGGGCATATCTTATTTTTAAGGAACACCAAACACGACTTTTCATAGATTTTTTGTTAGAATGAAGTGCTATTTCAAACAAAATTTCTAAGAAGTGCTTTTATTCCCACTTTAATTTTTTAAACTCCGATCCAAATCAAATTGGAAACTATTTTATTGGACAGAGGGAGTATTATAAATTATAATAATGTACGTTGTAATACGATAATATTCAGGGCCGGTTCTGTCAATTTCTGGACCTATGCGCGGTACGCTGTTTTGGGCATATATCCATGACAAACAGTAAATCATATTTGGGCAATGAAGTTCATAAAATAAAGACGAGAATCACTTTATTATTATATAAATTACATATTTGGGCAAAAGTAACAACACGAGTATCGAATAAAAAGAAAAAACATTACTTAAAAACGTTTCTCGTAGACCAATGTGAAGCAAATCATTAATAATTGCTTCATATGCAACCTTCTTTCCATTAATAAATATGACAAACAATAAAATTTTCACATATAACAACAGTAAACTTTCTTTTGAAAGGATAAATGAAAAGAAATATTACCACATATTGAATTCATAAGTTGAGAATGATTTATTAACCGCTGATGAGAGTCTAAAGTTTGAAGTCTCGAAAGAATGAAGGTTTTCAAATAGACAAAATGTTTGACTGCCAAGAAGACTCGTGCAAGAAGATTGCAAATTTGACGTACTCTAAAACTACTATTAGGAACTCAGATATAGCTTATTGAAATTTGGAAAGAAATGAATAATTGAGGCGAAATTTGAGAGAAACGGGCTTTAAAATAATTTTATAAATTTGTTATGTTATACGTAGTAATTAAATTGAATAAAAAAACTTAAAAGCTAAAAAGATGTGAGGATCGGAAGACGTGTCTTTTATTTATGCAGCAACAATTGTATTGCTTTTAGAAACTACAACCGGTCCTGCTAAAAATTAATGTATATATTCTGTTTTAAACTTGTCCCTGCTTATATTAAGACTCTTTATTTATGTTTTAAATTTTCAATTTGTCAACAAAATTAATCATTAGGCCTAATTAATTGAACTTAAGAATAAAAAAGAAGTCTACTCACACTATATATAAAGAAAAAAATTTGGGCCTATTTTTCTTCTATTTTTTTCGGGCCTAGGGCGGTCGCCCCTCTTGCCCCCCTCAGAACCGGCTCTGATAATATTATCTCAACATGACAATAGTTTACTTAATTAAT